GGGGCGATATGCTGACTCTGTAAACCGCTTAGAGAGGGCTGAAAGCCCTATGAAGCGGTATATAAGTCTAACTGCTATTGCTATTGCTATTACTTCTCCTCCCCTCCCCAAATTCCCTTCCCTTCTAGCGCTGATGTTCCCTAGCTGGGTCATGAAACGCCTGCAAGAAAACTACCACACTCAGAGAGCACCGAGGACTCCCTGAAGAGCTATAAGCCCCCCAAAAACCTTGATAACTAGCCACGTCCCTTTCCGTGGCCAGAGTCCCGTCCCAAGAGAGCCTGACCTGGGAAGGGAGAGGTTTGAGCTGCCTCCTTTTCTGGATGTCGTAACGCTCCTCGTTCCAGTTCCCCAGGAGGGTCGGGCTGGTGTACATGTCCTCGTTGGTGGTGCACCGCCAGCCATACTGGAAGAACTTGGACGTGCTGTTCCAGTCGGTCCACACTTCCCCGTGGCCGTCCGCGTGGAGCAAGCAGCCGTGAAGAGGGTTAAAGAAGCACGAGAGGGACATGTCCTGGAGGGAGACAGGAAAACAGGCCAAGGGCTGCACAGAAAACCAAGGAACCCCTCGCAAGCGGTCCTCGGCTTCCGGGCACTCGTTTAACAGCCACTCAGAGTTACAACAAGCCCCCCCCCCAACAAAGTGACGTATGACCGGTCCTCGCATTTACAGCCAGTCACCTGGTCTACTGAATTCGAGTCCTTGGCAGCCACCACGTGCAGGCCGTCCTCAACGTACGACCCCAAAATTTCTATTGTTAAGTGAGACTTCGGTTTCGCTCCATTTTACGACTTTTCTTGAAACAGTTGTTAAACGAATCACTACAGTTGATAAGTTAGTAACCCGAATGTTTCCTCCCCCCAAGTTTTTTTTATTTTTTTACATATCAGTGTGTGAAGAGCGTGGTACCTGAGTATCACATAAGAGCCGAGGTGGCGCAGTGGTTAGAGTGCAGCACTGCAGGCTACTTCAGCTGACTGCAGTTCTGCAGTTCGGCTGTTCAAATCTCACCGGCTCAAGGTTGACTCAGCCTTCCATCCTTCCGAGGTGGGTAAAATGAGGACCCAGATTGTGGGGGCGATATGCTGACTCTGTAAACCGCTTAGAGAGGGCTGAAAGCCCTATGAAGCGGTATATAAGTCTAATTGCTATAGCTATTGCTATCTATCTATCTATCTATCTATCTATCTATCTATCTATCTATCTATCTATCTATCTATCGGATTGTTGGGGGCGATATGCTGACTCTGTAAACCGCTTAGAGAGGGCTGAAAGCCCTATGAAGCGGTATATAAGTCTAACTGCTATTGCTAGTAATAATACACATCCTTATATTAAATGTTAATCTTTTGTTGTTTACTTATTCAATATTTCAACATGCTATTTTTGTACCGATCACCCTACCTGAATTATCATACCTTTTGATGTGAATAAAATATTATCAATCACATGTGTTCCATCTGACAAACTTTTATAACTAATATTAACACCAGCATTTATATTGCATTGAGATCTTCCATTATTGCTTATTCAGCTTCTTATTTGATTATTCAATATATTGTTTTTATATCAATCACTATATTCTACGTAACACAGCTGAAATATTATTAATCATATGTTAATTACATTTAGCATACCTATGCATATTTATATTGAATTATCATTTTTCATTTAGTCAGAAATTCTATGCATTCTTTTAATGCTTAGTCCCCATATTGTTTAAATTATTAACCCGGTTGGTAAGTGAACCTGGCTTCCCCATCGACGTCGCTCGTCAGGAGGTCACAGAAGCGGATTGTGTGACCCCCACGACACTGCGACCGTCGTTAAGTATGAACCCGCTCCCCCAAGCCCCTGAATTTTGATCACGTGATCGCGGCGAACGCTGCAAAGGATGTAAGTTTGAGAAATGGTCGTAAGCCACATTTTTTCAGTGCCGCTGGAACTTGGAACGGTCACTAAACGAACTGTCGTAAGTCGAGGACTTATCTGTATTTGCCCCATTTGCAACGTCAGGTCCTTTGAGAGCCATTTTAATCCAGAGTAGCAAATGGATGGCCAAGAGAATAATCAAAAGGGGGGGGAAAAGGAATTCCCCCCCCCAACATTTTCAACCTGGAACGGTGAGAAATCCGGATGTTCGGCAGCCGGAAATACCTCGGAGTCCGAACTCGTGGTGGTGACATTGGAACTACTGGTCTCGTCCAAATCCCACATTTTCTAGCTACTTTCCCCCTTTCTCAATTGGAAGATCTCAGAAAAATGGAAGATCTCTGTAACCTGGGTGCGAAAGCTGTCGATGGATTTTAAAAGTGCCAAGGGTTTTGCTGCGATGGGGACCTGGGGCAAGTCAGCCCCCACCCCCACCCAAAAAATCCTCCTAATTTGCTTAGTTTGTGATGTAATCTCCTGATCATTGGGGAGGGCTGAAGTCACTGTCCTGTTGGGATGAGAGGCTTTCATCCCAAACTGCATCTTGCCAAGGGAGGTGGGCACCAAATGCTTTGGTCCCTTTGCCCACCAGCTGGCATGACTAAGTCCCCGTTTCTGTTCTGCCTGAGTCTTCATGTTGTTGTTTTTTAAATTTATTTATTTGGGGTTTTTTGGCCATGTTAGTGTAGTGCCTGTCAGAGGTGGAGACTATGAATGTTGTGTGTTTTAAATTGTTGTTTGTCTATTTGTCTATTTATCCCCCTTCCTTTGTTTATTGTAAGCCGCCCGGAGTCCTTCGGGAGTGGGCGGCATACAAGACCAATAAAACTAAATTAAACTAAACTAAACTAAGACCCTTTGGAAGTTGCATTTCATTTTAATGCACGCAGATTAGGGTACATTTAAAGGGACAATAAAGTTATTTTAAGACTTGTTGCCTTTCTCTTGCCCGTCCTCCATGAGTGAAGAGGCGTCTAAGTGGGCTCTAGCTGTCCCTGGGTTAAAGTGGTCAAAGGCAGGGAGTGGGGAGAGAAAGGGGGGGGTAGGAGAGGGGCAGCAGTGGGGCCAGCTATACCGTCTTCCCTCTTGCTGATGGGGAGGGGGCACAAAAGTCCCACAGGCACCCCCAGGCAGCCGATTTCATGCGCTCCTTTCAGTCAGACAGTAGCTCAAACTACCATTATAATTTACTCAGAATAAGATACGCTTTGATGGGTTTCTTTCATATAGTGTAATTTCTTTTTTAAACGTAGGCTGGCCACACTTGTTTTGATTTTGCAGACACGGAGAGGGTCTTGGGGAACCCCCAGGGACCCTTGGGCCATGCTATAAGCAGCACCAACTTAGAAGAACCCTGTATCCTACCCTGCATTCCTCGGAAAAGGTTGGACTAAATGCTCTCTAGAGGTACCGTCCCACTGTAAAAGCCCTTTCCCTCCCTTCCTGTTTTTTCCTTCTTTTCTTTCTCTCTCTCCTCTTTCCCTCCCTTCCCTCTTCCTTCCTTCTCTACTTTTCCTTCCTTCTTTCTTCCTTTCTTCTTCCTTTCTTTTTCTCTCCTCCCTTCTTTCCCTCCCTCACTTCCTTCCTTCTCTTTTTCCTCCCTCCCTTCTTTCCTTGTTTTTCTTTCTTTCTCTCTCCCTTCTTTCTACTTTTCCTCCCTCCCTTCTTTCTTTATTTCCCTACCTCGCTCTTTCTATCCCTTCTCTTTTTGTCCCTCCCTTCTTTATGCCCTTCTTTATTTCCTTCCTTCCTTTTTTTTGATAAAAGAAACCATGCTTTGCCCAGCTTTCAGGCATTTTGCCCCTCCCCTCCTTTTTCTTTTCTTTTCTTTTCTAAAAGCCAGGTTTTTCTTCAACGGGTGGCCTGATTTGAGCTAAGTGGGCTTTGGCTGTCCTCTCCAGCTAGGCAGGCTTACATTGTGTCCCCCTCCCCAATGGGGAAAAATGAGGAAAAAAGAGAGACGATAGACTGCTCCTGAACCTGGAGGCTCCACCACCCACCAGGCTACCGTCTCAGCCCTTCCCAAGAAGTGACATGCCCGAAAAACGACCCTCTAACAGCTGCAAGGAAAGAAATAATGGCCCCCATCAACCCCCCCCCATACCTGCCCAAGACGCCCCCGCCGCCAAAAAAAACCTCGGGGGGAGGAAAACACGAAAGGGGCGGGGCAGGAGCGAAGGAATGGAGCCGTTCCTATGGCAACCGCAGAAGCCGAGCGGCAGGAAGAAGACGACCGGAAGTGACGCGCAAAACGGTCGACCGCGCTTCGGGAGCCCTTTGGGAGGGGCGGGGCTAGGAAGGGGGGAGGAGGGGGAGGGAGCGAGCGGGGAAGTTTGGGGTAGTTTTGCAGTATTTTTTTTTTAATCCTTTTTTTCCCCCCTCCCCTCCCCTTTCCTTGAATTTGTTTTATAAATTGGTCAGAAGGGAATTTGGGAAGGGGGGATAAAAATAGACAAAAATAGTCACCTGCTGGGTGTGGGTGCCGTACCCATCATCCCCAGCCAGGTGTCAGCCTGTCCTTTTCTTTCCTCTCCCAATGAATCCAGAATATAACAGTGATAAGAATAGTAATGCAATATATTACAATAATATACTGATATAATATATTACAATAATATAATATATCACACCCCGGGGTGTGGTTTGAAAGAGAGCAGTGGAATGAAACCATAGGTTGATAGGGCTGGAAGGGACCTTGGAGGTCATCTAGTCCAACCCACTCTGCCCAAGGCAGGAGGCCTCATATATTCTGGATAAATTATCCAGGGTTTTTTTCTTTTCTTGAAAATCTCCAGCGATGGAGCGACCACAATTTGGGGAGGCAAACTGTTCCCTTGATTGATTGTTCTGGCTCTCAGGGAATTCCTCCTTAGTTCCATTTCCCTTTGATCAGCTTCCACCTGTTGCTTCTTGTGCAAAAACAACCTGGACCGTGACAGTTTTACCTCCTTGGTTTCACTCCTGCAGCATCCTTGGGAGGTAGTTTATAGGCAGAAAACCAGGATCTTTTCTCTAATCCATCAGGAGGTGCTTCCTGCATGTTTGGGGGGCACAGCTCCCCAGTTTGCAAGCCATTGGCTACGCTGGCTGGTGCTGAGTGAAGCTTGATTGTTTCTCTGCTATAGAACGAGGGATCTGGTGGAGCTCGCAGCTCCTTATTTCCTGTTCCAAAAATGATTCAACCGATCGCCTCGGGAGCAACAGACTAAAGGAGCAGAACCCCCTGAAGTCTTCTACAATCCAAATTCTGGCATTTGTCCCTGATCGTTTTCCTCCATGCAGCGTCAACTGGCACGTTTCCTTCTGGTTGGGGAAGGAAATTTTTCCTTCTCGGTCTATCTGTACAAAGCAAGAGGCTGTGACACTCATATTATTGCCACCTGCTACGGTAGTGAAGAGTCTATATCTGAACAAGCTTTCACCAAATCCAACGTACAGTTTCTGAGAGACAAAGGTAAACAATCTGTGGGGGGAAAGTGTTGTTGTTGTTGTTGTTGTTGTTGTTATAAACTTTTATTCATTAAACATGAAACTCACTCAACTGAACATTTAAAAATGCACCACAAATATCATTGACTGGCACTCATGGTTGATACAGATTGCTGCCAGAATCCTAGGTATCAACTAAGTTACCTTCTTAAAATATATGACCTTCCGAGTAGCACAGTTTTTTTGCAGTTCCGCTTGTGTGAACTGCAATTTCTTGACGTATTTTATAAAATTCTTGGACATGGTACCAAGTGCTCCGATGACAATGGATATCACTGTTAGATGTTTCATCCATAATCGCGTATTGTTGTTGTTGTTGTTGTTGCATTTTTGTTATCCTTATATTTTGTTTATCTGGGGAAAAAAATGAAGTGTTAAACTGTGCATTATTATTCTTTTTAATAATCCAGGTGCCGAAGTCTACTTTTCTGTCAACTGCACAAAACTGAAGGAATACTTCTTGCCGGCTACGAGGGATTTTGACCGTATTTATTTCAATTTCCCCCACTGTGGGAAAAAGGGTGGAATAAAAAAGAACAGGGAGCTTCTTGCCAAGTTTTTCTGCAGGTGAGAGAAAGCAAGGCTGCATAATTTTTCCTGGTTCCATGTGTGTGCCTGTTTCAAGGCCATTATGTTTTGCATTAGAAGCCTCAAAATATAGATGCCAGGAAAATAGAGCTACCTTTTGAACTTCCCTGCAGACACATCTTTGTTAATCTTAAGAGCTTTGTGTAAAGAGCTGCTGGATCGGCCATGGTATGGGCAGAAGAAATATAATTGAGGATTCCTATGACTTTCGTTCTTCCCTGTATGCACTGTAGGTTTACCGGTCCACAATAGAAAGCGTCCTCACTCATTGCATTAGAGAGCCGAGGTGGCGCAGTGGTTAAATGCAGCACT